ATTTTCAATTTTTAGACTTCCGTCGAAAACAGAAAAACTAAGCCATGCCACAGACTGCAACATTGTCGGAGAAACAAAATAGCCGCTCAGTTTTATTCTCTTCAAATTTGACAGGATTAAAGTCAAAATATAAGTTCTGTTTCAATGTTCTACCGAAAGAAAAAAAGGTCAAATATTTTCTATTTGGCACTTTCTAACTTTTTAAGATAAAAAATCATGAAAATCAAGAATTGAAATCAATTTTCAATTTTTGGTTTTAAACGAAAATTGAATGGACGAATGACCCACGGACCACCAACCCACGGACCATTTCACTTCACCGTGAACAGGAACAGGAAAAGAAAGCTTTTTCAAAAGCATAAAGATGATTTCCTGTCCATATTACGTATTTCCGAGAGTTTGTTTGCGTTTTTTGTTTTATTTCATTTAAGACATCACAAAATGTAAACATTTCGCAACTACTTACATGAAGTAAATTCAAAGTTTCAAAACAACCGCCATTATGGATGCGAAGCGGTAGAAGCTTTGTGCTTCGTTTTTCCTTATATCACTTGATGAAACGACTTCGCAGCTGTAAAAATCAATGAAGCTGTTAGAAAAAGAATTTGAAAGGTATGTGGTTCATAACGAACAACATAGATTCGCATTCCACCGAGTGAGACTTATAACAATAGGGTGCTGAGACTAAGCAGTACGGACTGGAAATCATCTTCATGGTCGGCAAAGACTTTGATTTCAGCTTGACTTATAAGCTGACTGGTTGATATATCTTTTATCCCACGAACGATGAACACTGAATAAATGTCTGTTATTTCTGGCTGCTACCACAAATGGATCGAAGACGTTGAAGTTAATTGCAATCGGTACTGGAGGTGGAGCACTGGCGTTACTAATTCTTTCTTTATCATTGATTCTTCTCGCCAATTTTTTCTGTTGCTTACATTTCAAGGTTACCATTAGCACCAAATTTTTACCTATGTATATACTTATCTCGTTTACAATTTCAACTACTACAACAGCTCCAGCAACTGAAGGTAATTGGCATGCCTTTGAGTACCAGGAATATACGATTAAAAAATGTAACAAGTAATATGTGGTACGATCACCAGTGATTCACAAAATTAAAAAGTGGCAAAATAAGTCGGTGCATTATGAAACGATTTGTGGTATATCTCTTCCTTACAGCAGACTCCAAGACTGCAATGTACCTAAACATTATTTACGGATTTGCCGGACTTGTTGGGTTATTGATAGTTTTGATCGTTTCTTTCGCCTGCTACAAAATCTTCAAAAGGTAGGTTGCTAGTAACTATAAGCAAAGGTTTGGTAACACATAAGCATGGAAAAATCAATGATGGAATCGAATGATATTTCAGATTTTATCGCTGATTATAACATGCTTACGTGCTAGTAGCGATAAAGTATTCTTTAGTAAAGCAATTTTCAACCGAGTGTCGTAAAACCAAACCAAAGTAATCACTCTAGCCAATCATAAAGGACACAGAATTCGAAAATGCAGTGGACCAATAAAAACTCGAAGTAAGACGCGGGAAAACGCGCGCGAATGAGTGACGCTTGGTTTCGGTTTTACTGCTGATTGGATGAAAAAGTTGCTCTAGTCTTTTCATAGGTCGATCGTGTAGCGTAGTAAGTGCAAAAGCAATTATGCTTTTCGACACTCAAACAGTAACCGCTCTAGTAACTGTTTTGTCACCTTTAGTGCGACGTCTTACCTACATGTTGCTGACATTGGTCGTTTTCAACATATTAGATACTGGATACTGATTGTATGTTACTTTCATTGCTTACTTGAGTGAAACAGGAGGTGCCGTCAAAAGAAAGTAAAACAAAACAAATTGCCAGTAACAACTGAATCAGGAGTCAGAGTGTACGATGGTAAGGCTCGATCTTAGCGGAGGCATTGTTGAACGTAATATAAGGAGCAAATAATTAGTTTACTTCGTTTTCAGCATTCTCCATGGGTGGCTTCATTAGATTAATTTACTGAAAATGTGCTGGATAATATCTCTAAAACATTTCCTTTTCCGTTTCTGGAGTGTTCCAGAAATATTAAATTAAGATTTCGGCGATGGTAAGTTGGCTGGTTTTCATTAGCGTCGGAGTCGTAAGAGAGTACGACCTTGTGAAAATCGAAAATCGGAGTGGTAAGCGGACTCATAAGCTCGACCAAGAGATTATCAAGGTGAGAGAGTGAATCCCCCATATAGGTCCTCTATCCAAGGTGATCCCTCTTAAGTTATTTTTAGACATGGTACAGTTCTTCCGAGGACGTAACTCGCGAATTTCTCGAAACTGGCGGGAAATTTTGGGAAAAGTCATTTTGTGTTTTGATTTCCAAAAGACAACAAAGGAAATGAAACATAAACAAATCCTCCACGAGAACATCCACGCAACGCGCGAGTAAATTCCGCGGAAGAACTGGGTACCACGTCTAAAAATAACTTCAGAGAGATTACCTTAGTTAGAGGACCTACATGGGGTATTCACTCTTTTACCTTGATAATCTCTTGGATCAAAAGAATCGGAGTCGGAAGAATCAGAACGTTTCCGTTTCTTCCGATTCCGTTGACGACTCCGTCGCTTATGATTCAATGAAAACTTGATTGTCGGAGTCGGAAGCAGAGGTGTAAGAACAAACCAGTCAGAAGGCCTGGAAGAAAAACCCGCTGGTGACGTTTATGACAATTTACAAATCATTTACTTCCAAAAGAAAAAAGGCTTATTCTTGCTGATATTTCAAAAGGCGTCAATGTTTTCTTTAGATATTACGATGTTGTCAAT